GAGCAAAATATATTTTTCTATAAGCTTAACTCAACCCTACTATGGTTGACTATGCACAACTATAGAGTCTTTCCATTGGGAGATCCCACCCACAGCCAGCTTGGCTCGTAGGATCCACTCCAGCGAGGTGGAGAGTCTCTTTTACAAGAATCAAACACGACATTTTTAAAGCATTTTTTATTATTTACTTCAATTAAAATGGCAACACATAAACCAGCACCGTGGAGCTATGAGGAGGTGAAGACCTTTCAGACGGAGCTAGACCAGATGGACTTGATCAGCTCTGATGGGCAGAGGGAAGGTGGCCTCGACATTTTTGGAAACCATATCAGTGGATGGTTGAGTGTTTTGTGACTTTACTTTACTTCCTGTGTTGTGTTTGCCACGGATTCATGGAAATTTCAAACAGCTGCCATGACAATCCTGCCCACATCAAGACCACCTGTAGACTTGAGTGGAGTCGCAGTGGATTGTGGTGAAACTGGACTATAGCCGTTTCTCCACGGATGCGACTCTCATCAGTTTGCATCCACTCAGCATCTCCATTTCCTGTTCCTGCTCAGTTTCTGGACCCACCTCAGCCAAGCTGAGGAAACGATTTTGACGCCGGCAAACTACAGCCGTTGATTTGCCCGTGGATCATCGTTGCTGTATGAACCAAGGCTGTATTTGCAAACTACTCCTGAAGCACCAACCCGGTCGTTGCTGCGTGTAAATCGCATCTTTTCCTATTTTGAGATGGGCAAAGCAATTCCATGGACGAATGACGAGGTTCAGACATTTTTATCTACTTTGGCTGACAGCCGCAATACAGAGCTACTAGTAATACGCAAGTGTAAAGAATATGAGCACATCTTGCCCACTTTGCCAAGATGAGTCCACCCACGGAGTGGGGGACACACTCACAAGGAGACACACCTACACCTGAGAAGAACCGAACAGAAATGAAGAAATTAGAACTGTACTTAACCATGGAGAAGCAGCTATTGGGAATAAAACGTCTGACTGTGATGCAGCAGTGAGTCCAACATATAACCACACTCTTCTCTGCACCTGCTCTGAAAACTCATCCTCAGCAACATCACACAAGCAGCTAGCACAACACTAGTCAGCTTTACTTTTCTGTTCAAAACCACATTTGGGGAAAAAACAAATTCAAAATGAACTAACGTGTCGACTGCTACTCCGAGTGGAGCAAAGACTATTGCTATCAACTTAAAACTCCTCAAGGTGCAATTTTCATTGTGGCTATTGCAAATATTTGATCAACTTTTGCATCGCTATTAATTTTACGCCACATTGATATTTACATAAAGCTCTAGGGTTATTTGCAAGAGCTTAGAGGGGCAGCAGTAAGATGTAGCACTTCCTGACATAATTTCAAAATCTTTAGACTCGTCACTATTTGATTATGATTCAGAATGCTGCAAAGAGATCACAAAACAATTAACAATTCATTTTAATTATTTTGAACCTTAAATTAATCAGTTTTTTTTTTTTTACATAAATGGGCACAGTTTTATATATTTTTAATAAGGGGTGCACAAAACCATGTATAAAAAAATATTAATTACAGGCTGATGTCAACAGTTAGCATCTCATTAAAGACAGTCATGTTTGGATAAATTCAATTATTTTT